GAAATGAATGGCTATAAATACTGTTTTGGAATAGTTCTAATTAATCTTGCTATTACTTTTCGCTTTTCCAAATAAACCCGAACCTCTTCAGCTCCTGTCACATTTGAGTACATGCCCAAATACATAAGCGTCGAACTTAATGTATTGTAATTTCCGTTGCTCTGTTTGTATTTCTCTTAATGACTGCTGGCATTACTTGAAAGTTGAGCCAAAGGAAATTCGAGTAAAAAAGCTGTATGAATATATATACTAAAATTTCCTTAGTGATTTCGTTTTAGCGTATTAAAATCAGCTAAAAAATTGATGATAAAAGAATCGATCTGGTTACAGTAGTAGTGAAAAATAATGTACTGGATCCCTTTTTCAAAAAAATGTGAAACATGGTTTGCCAGAGGTCCTCGAGCTCATCGAACTCTACAAAATGGCTGTAGTCAATTTTTCGAGAAGCGTCGTTTTCACCATCATCTTGAGCATCAAAGTTCGTAAGATACCAGCCGTCTTTTTACGATTTAAACTCGATTTCTACTCTATTTTTCACTACTACTATAACCAAATCGTTTCTTTTATCATCAATTTTTTTATACAAAAATTCTCAGTGCAACAACGATTTAACAGTACATATGTTTGAATAGTGGCTTGAGAGTGTTTTTGATAACACACTCGGGATTTCGGATGCTTTTTCTTCGCTGAAAAACGAAATAAAACAGTCCAAATTCTTTAATTATAATAGGAGAAACTCTGTAACTTCAGAGCAGTTGCTTTATATTATATAAATAACAGCGTAAAACACCGTTTTTTTTACGTTCCTTCTTTCGTTACAATTTCTTATAAAACTTCTGCTTAGTTATCGCAATCGAAAAACAGAAAATATTGTTTTAATACACAAAGAAGTGAGATACGGTCATGTTTTCTGAGAGTATCGTAAATCTTAATAAAAACTGTTAAAAGGTAAAGTCAAATGCTATGAGGATAAAAATACAACGAAAATATACTTTAGAAACATTAAAAGCCTTTGTAACGGCAACAACAGCAACAAAATGAAAATAATTTTGTAAGTAGAAATGTACTTGTTTGGGGAAGATATGCCTGTTTTCTATCACCTGTTGTCAAACTTGATGATAAGGCTTGTTCTTCAGTCACGCGCCTTTCAGTCATCATTTCTTTCGTCATATCATTAAATATCGTTAATGAAGGACCTATTACTTTCATAAGTTTCAGATAATAAATTCGCACTTGTCTTATTCTATATTGTAGTTGTTCATTATCATATCGATATTCATTTTCGTCTAGCCATTTTATAATTGATAGTGAATATGTTTCGATGAATTTATGTTTAATGAGTAAATCAGAATTCTCGAACCAGAAATTTGCATCACAGTATTCAATTGCTTCTAGTTGATGAAATCGTAATCGAAATTCATTTAAAAATGTTTTTATTTCTACATTGGACAACTGAAGTGTTGTAAACCAGTTTTTATTTTGAACAAGATATTTTGGTTCAAGTTCCAATTTTGTTTATTCTTTATCCCTATTTTCCAATTGCACGGAGAAATTGCTAGAAATCTGAAAATTTTATCCATTCCATACCTTCCTCCCCCTAATATTTGCGAACGTATGTGACCCTCGGGCAATACTGAATATACATTATATACGCGGATAAGCTAACACCTACGTAGAACGTGACTCGGGACATGGGTTTCATCCAGCCGCAACTTAGTCCATCACGTTTGAATGAAGGAGATACACTTTAGATCTTTAGTGTTTCCTCAGAATGATACGTCTTTCAGTCTTTTAGCACCGAGAAGATAAACACTAATTCAGTCTACATGTTGTCAAAAGATTGTCTTCTTGCACGCACCACCATTCAGGGGTCTCGAACTGTGAGTTATTGCAATTGTTTTATGAAAGAATTCTTTTATTCTTTGAAAACTGGTATATTTTGGAGAGAAACTGCCGAGCATCTGAATCACAGACATCGCTGTCGACGAAAGGCATTACTATGAGAGACTTGAAATTGTTGCCTGAAAGTTTCTCTTAATAGATTGAACAAGTGAACTGATTTTGTAGTGCATGAATTTTGTATGAGAAAATGGAAGTATATTTATTTCGACTGAATCACCCTCATAATTTGGAAAACATTAGTTTACTTCTTTTCTCAGCAGATGACAACAAAAGAACCTTAGCCTAAAGGATTTTCACAGTAGCATAAGGATTTTGCGTCCATGACGGACCGGCAATTTTAGCACACGAAACTCGAGCAACTCGAAAATTTATAATTAAAATTAGTTTCTTGTTTAAGTATGCACCCAGCTTTTAACCCATGTAATGGGTGTAAGGCATAAGTGTCTCGCGTAAGTCTTATCTCTTTAGTACTTCATTGTGAAGCTGTCTCTTGTTTAGCTGGATAGGTTAGAATAAAAATGTGAATCCAGCGAAGAATACAAAAACCGACTAAAAGGAGTAAAGCTTCTTCATTTATATTAAAAGTTCGCTTTTTTCTTTCAAGTTGTTAATTTTCTCCTGTGTTCTTTTAGTCGATCCATATTGTGCTGGCTCGTCGACAGATAATCAGAGATCCAACCACAACTGTCTTTTTGATACATATTTAAACTTGCATGGGTGTCTGTGTTTAGCTTCTGTTTCATGCTTATCAGCACAACCTTGTCCTGACAGTCCATCATGGACGCAAAACCCTTAGGCTAAGGTTCTGGGGTGAGGGGTGAGGGGTGAGAGTTATAAAACAAAATGTTTACCTTTACGTTCCAGTGATCAATAGAGTAGATATAAGTAATATTTTATTTAACTCGAAAATCAATAATTACAAAATTAGTTTCTTGTTTAGGTATGCACCTGGCTTTTAACCCATGTAATCTGTTAAAATAACTGGTAGTTAGTAATTACGTTCGGTTTATCTTTATTATTTGAACAGTGTACTCCGAAATTGGACAAAGAATATGAATCCCTACTTTTAAATGGAATATTTTTAAATAACAGTTTGCTGGCTATTTCATCTTCTATCTATTTCGCTTTATGTGCTTATCGCGGACAAGATTATAAATCAGCTTATCATCATTTAAGTAAAGGACTGGATTACGTTTCTACTGATGATAACAATAGTAACCTTATTGGAACATTGTATTGCTTGTTAGGTGCTGTTTATCGACAAACAAAGGATTATATTATGTCAGTCTATTGGTATAAAAAGGCCATTGAGTATGGTACAAAATATTATGTTCTTGATGATTATGTTGACTATTTTTCATATATCGATAGACCATTATTTAGCCTTGCATTAACATATAAAATGAGTAACAATGTTGATTTATCATGTTTTATAAGATCCCATTGTAGGAGACGCTGCTCCTTTAGACCGATTATTTTGTTGATCTGTTGTTAAAGTATTATCGGTTCGTGGAGCTAGAGGTGCTCTACGACGCTGGGAATCGGATCGACTTATCTGTTGCGGTCCTGGTGATCGAGAAGATTCGCGCGGTTGTGTTAATTGCGATAATATTCGCTGCTCCTGTCCGTGTTGCGATGAAAGTTGACGTGGTGCAAGAGGAGGAAGAAGTGTCTTTACGGCTGCTTTTGTTAACGCGTTGTCCAGTACATTTGAAGATATATTAAGATGAGGTGAATTACCAGACAAAGACGGTTTTGATAAGAGCTCTAATCTTGATGGAGCTGGATCTCCAGTATCCATTCCATCATCATCAGTTAACCCATCACCGTATGTTGTTCGAAACGAATCTTTATATTGCAGCATTGATACACCATACTTTGACAGTTTTTGTCCAAAATCAGCAATTTCATTTGATGCTGTCGTTATATCAATATTAATTTTGGTTATAAATGACGATGCTTTCCTTGCACTTCCGACTTTTTCTTTACCAAGTTTTACTAGAATATATAGACTTAGAGCTCAGCTTTATGTTTTCAGGTCCAGGATATGAAACTGTGTCTATCTAGAAAGTTTTAAATGATTTGGAACGGTTTTGAATGAAATATGAGCTTTTTGGTTTTGCCGCAACAATCGATATTTTTTGTAAAACTAATTTTTCACTAGGTTTTTAAATGTCTTTGCAAAAATAAACTTGCTCGACGATTCAGCATGACTGATTACTCGCAATCCATCCATTTTTGAGGTTCTCAATAGTCATTCAATACCAGTGCCGAGGCTCCTAGGTAATGCGATACCATGTCTAAACGGTGGAAAATGAAGAGATCAGCGAATTCCCATTTGAAGAAAACACTCTGAGCTAACGATACATGAAAAAAACAAAATATTCCCACTTGACGTTTTTGAGCTTTGGCTTGCTTTTTCAAAAACTTCATAGAAAATTTAGTCCACAGAAGAGTTTTGGCAACCTTTTCGATTATCAAAATATGGCTTTGAAAGCTTATCAATTGCAGGGTAGATATCGGGCTATCGAAACTGCCATGGCAGCACCCTACACCGGTAACGGTAGCCGCAAGGCGGGGTATTCTTCCTTCTTTTTCTTCTTCTTCTTCTGTATCCGTATTCATATATGTATGTATAATT